AGGGATGGGAGCAGGAGAAGGAGGGGAGGCCACCTGGTGATGCGAGTGGGAGGGGGAGGGGAGGCCGCCTGGTGATGGGAGCGGGAAGGGGAGGGGAGGCCACCCAGCGCACGCAGATCAGGGCAGTGACTGCCTCTCCCAGTTCCTGGTCATCCCTGACCTTGGCGGCTGGCTCCTCCTGCCCAGGCGGCCCCTGCCCAGTAGGACGGCCACAGCGGCCAACAGACCAGATTGTCCCTCCTGGCTCTCAGTGGCAGCTGCCACCATGGATCACTTGAAGGAAAAAGGAAGAGCTGACGTGAACGGGATTCACTTGGTGTCCCACACTGCCCATCCGAGGCCGGCAGAAGCTCACCAGGTCACTTTCGAGGTGGGTGGGGTGGGACATCTGCTCGGTCTGTCCACAGAGCTCAGGTTTGTGGATGAAGCTGAGAGCAGCAGAGGATCTGGGGTCTGTGGCTGTGCAGCTCAGTAGTGAGTGGGTCTTCCCCTGAATTTAAATGAAGCCAGGTTCCAGGAAGGTGTCGTGAGCTGTGCTGCCACATGACATGGGGACAGCTTCCTCGGGAGTCTGCTACGGCCGGAACCCACTCGCACCATGCTCAGCCCACCAGGTCTTTGCTCTCAGACGAATCCTGACACCTGGGCCTCTCTACCAATAGCCGGTGGCTTCCCGGGGACCTGAGGAGGCACTTGGGTGGCCTGGATGCAATACCCTGGCCAAGACGCCAAGTTCTTCTCTGCAGGCACTGCTGTCTTGCGTGATGCATGATGGGCCCCCAAGAGCTCAGGGGCCCCGCTCCCCTCCGAGCACCGCAGGACAGCAGGCCAGGAAGGCAGGCAGGGCTGGAGAGGCAGAGCTGACTTGTGAGGAGACATGAATGAGAAGGAGATGCCCAGCCAGCTGGGCTTGGGGAACGCATCGGGTAGGAGGTCCTGCAGGTGCCACGGGAGGTGGGAGATTCAGGTGGAATGAATGGAGCAAGGGATCCTAGGTTACAAACCAAGACTCTCAACGCCACTGCTGTGAGCGGGAGCCTGGACTCCCTGCCGACTCACTTTTGTGTGAACCACGTGTCTTCCTGTGAGACTCTGAGCAGAGACAGGGCCAAACAGCACGTACCTCCCCGCACTGCCCATGGATGTCTGAGGGCCACGTCTACCATGCCGGGGCCATGAGGAAGCCCTGGGTGTGGGAAGCATCGGACTATGTCTCTGGGGCGCTGCCTCTGGCCTCCCGCAGCCTGTATTCCTCTGATGCCTTCCCCACCCCGAGGGTCACATTGCCAAATGCAGCCTTCAGAAGGGACTGAAAGAGACAATGAACTGGGGAGGGGGGGGGCTCAGCTGCACCTAAATCTCATGTGTTGGAATCCTCAGGCCGTCACAGGGCAAGGTCTCGGTAGGTGCCCCCTGGGGTTTCCAGACATCTCGTGGCAGCATCTCCAGAAGCCCTAATCAGCACAGGAGCACCTCAAGGAGTTAGGGCTGGGGCCACAGTTGGAAGCCAGAAAGTGCCCCACCTCCAGCTGCAAAGCAGCTGCCGCCCCAGAGTGGAGACCCCTCAACACCCCTCTGCAGGGTGAGCCGGGCTGCAAGGACTGTGTGGTCCAGGTTAAAATCCAAGCACACAAGGGGCAACACATTTGAAACCAGGACTTCCCTGAAGACGCCGGCTCTCTCTGGACAGGACCAGCATTGTAGGCGTGCAGCCCTGCAGCTCACACAGGCACCTGAGCTCAGACAAACCCGCGCTTGGTTTAATGCTCCACTGTCCTCTAGAAATTCTTCGCAACTTTCTAACAAAAGGCCCCATATTTCCACTTCGCACTGAGTCTCAAACATTCTGTAGCCAGTGCTGTTTCGGGATCACATTGCAGATCAACTGATCCTACACTCGTTTCTGTCTTGTTTTTATTGTTGTTTTGTTTTGTTTTTCTCATCAGCTAAACTGTAAGCCCGAGGGTGCCAGGGAGCTGCCTGCTGGTTACGAGCCCCAGTGTTTAGCCTCCAGCAGAGCTGGGCCTACAGAGGTGCCCATAAACACGCTCTCAGATCACTTCCACGTGGCTCTGCTCATTCATTCACTCCACAAATATTTATAGAAAGGGAGGGAGTCTGGACGGAGCTTTATTATCGCCAGACTATTAAAATCTTTTCGATCGGAAGGTTGATGCAGGCGCAGCAATGCCGTGGACCTGAGGCGGCCACCACGGTCCTGCCCGATTTGCAGCCTCCACCCTGCGGGTGACACGTGAACTGGCCAGTCCTGAGGATGAAAAGGGAGGAGGGTGTGCGTGGGAATATCTCCTCCCGCTCGCACACAGGCTCCGTTTCCCCGCAGCTGCCCTGGGGGGAGCCCCGTGTGGGGCCAGGAATGTTAACGCCGCCTTTCCCCATCTCCCCTGACAGGCGTGAGTGACGCCGAGGCGCGCCAGCCGGGGAAGTCGCCCCCCTTCAGCGTGAACTGGGTCGTGGGCAGCGTGGACCTGGAGATTATCAACACCACCACCGGGCGGAGGAGCTGCGGGGGCCCCTCCCGGCTCTGCAAGCATGTGCTGTCTGCGCGGTGGGCGCGGCTGTACGGCAGGGTAGGCCGCACCCATCCTTGGAGGGAAACGGGGCCCAGCCAGACCCTGGCTCCAGCCCTGAGCAAGCCCCCGGGAGAGGCCACCACTTGGTCTGCAGGGAGGGAGAGGCAGGACACAAAACCCAGCGCCCCTCACGTGTCCTTCTCCCACTGCCCAGGCCAGCAGCGTTTCCCCCGTAGGCTAGAGACCCCGCTGCCGCAGGCACCGCCCCCAGACTGCCCCAGGCACCGCCCCCAGACTGCCCCAGGCACCG